AGCTAAAATTGTTTATAGTACTCGTGTAACTCGTTCTATGGCCGCTTCGGCTATTAAATCAACAAATGACGATTTACAGGAAGTTGATAATACCAAAATGAAAAAAAAGAAAATTGATAATAATAGTAAGAATAAATAGTTACCATCTGCATCGGTGGTATTAAACATTTAAACATTTGTGCGTGGTAAAGTCGCGTTTCGCCAACAGACATTCGCCATATTTAGCGAATTTTGCCGCGACATTCGCAAATTTTTTTGGACATTCGCTGTCTGCGAATGTCTACTGGCGAAAGTTGAATTGGCGAACTGCGACAATGCCTCTACAAGCAGTAGACAGTGAGTACAAGTCGTGAAACAGACTGTCCACGTAGACTAAGGTCTTATTATAGAAAAATTAAATAAGTGGAAAGAATATTATTTTATTCACGTAGGAAACAGTAGATAATTTGAAAATAGAATGATAGAGTACTGACCATTAAAGAATGCGATGAAATTGTACTACATCCTTCCTATAAGATTCTTATCAGAATCTTATGAATTCTTATAAAATAATTATATAATCTATCTTACCGAATTCTTATCAGAATCTTACAAGAATCTTATAAGATTCAGCAAAATTCTTGTCACTTTCGTGGAAGATCTTAAATAAGAATTGAGTAAGATTCTTACAAGATTCGTATAAGATGCTTGTAAGATTCTTGTAAGGTTCTTATATAAGAACCGATGACTAGGGTAATGACTCTGGTTCTGTTATTGTTACTCTTATTTCCAGATATGATGAACAGGGCTGAATACTTCTCTCAGAGTTTCTGAAATGCCGTTCTGACATTGTTTTTCATCAAGTTATTGGAGTTTTTCAGGTTTTTAATACATTGTTTTTTCATTTATTGTCTTTTTTGTATACAATGATTCCACGTCTATTATTGTCTTATTTTATATACATGTTTCACTTATTTTGAACTCCATTGTCAAAGTTTTTTCTGACACATATGTGTATGTGTATATAATAAATATCATTAAAACAGTTACTTAAATAAAATTAGTAGCACCAGCTGTTGTTTGTTGTCTTTTTGTATTCTTCACTTTTTTTATTTTTTAGGTATAACTATGAAAGACACCTCACCTTTAAGTTTAGCTGTAGAGTTGCACATCTGAAAGTGTTGAATTCAAAGCTTACTAATATAGATGAATAGAACCGAAAGTAAATGCTGTTTCTATGTTGTCGCTCGGAGCCAGCGAACTTTTTAATTTTTACTCAGTCGATAAATGAGTGAATCAATAGAAAGTTCTTTTTCAATTGATGTGATCTATAGCAACTAATTGAATATCTTTTGACAGAGTTTGTTAACATCTATAAAGTATATTTTGATTTCAGCCATATATTACCTTAAAGAACATAAATACACAATTTAGTAACCGCACGCTGGTTAAGCCCATGTGGCATTATCACAGTTGTTATCTACATATCTAAATATCTAACCACCCACAGAGATACACAGACATTTCGGACTAGTTCTGACGGCCGTCTTCAGTAATTTTTTTCTTACTTGTGCAGGCTATAAAATGTGAACTTGCACAAACTGTAAATATCTAGTGGGAGTGGGGTCGGGTACTTTTTCTTGCCGTAGCGGAAAAAATGCATCCTACAAAAATGAAAAGGACACATCCATTTTGGTCATGATGCCAAAAGACGTCTCTCATCTCATTTTAAAGATATGTTGAAAATGCGGTAAAACACGCCTTTTTCCTTCAGAACAAAATTCCGCAGGACTACGAAGCCTGAGAGTTGTGTGTGTTAAAGGGTCTAGTGATGTTTCTTACAGTTACCAGGATTTCTTCCACGCTAATCTTACATGAACTATGCAGAGTTCCGTCCGAGTTGGCAGAATAAAAATTCTGCGTAAAGATAATAAACATCGTCGATATTTTAACACACACCACCCGTCGGGTTCCTGTGTAAAAGTCTGCGGAATAATGCGCGACTTCAATTTTTATGCACATTTTATTATACTTGCTTACGTCGAGTCTATGGGACTTTCTTTTGGAACGACATAGTTTTTCCATTACATACGATAAACGGTCTTTCGAAAACAGGTTTTTCCAGCATTGGAACAAGTTTTTATGTTTACTAGCAAACTCTATAGATGGAATAGTGCTGTATGAGGCTTATCTGCTAAATGTGTTTAGGAAGCAGCGGAGAAATAAAGCTTATGTAGTAAAAGACTTACGCAGATCGAAACGTATTGTTCCTAATTTATCGGTTTTCCAAAAGTGTGTTTCTTCGTTTACCAATAATGTATAAAATTCGGTGCCCCCGTTAGGGAAGACGATTTCGAAACTTGTATAAAATTCTCCAGAAACATTTTTGTAAACATAATGGAACCGGGTGACACTTATTTATATTTTACATTACGTACATTTGCACTTTACTACTCTCTTTAGCGTGATTGCGCTATCAATTCACCATTGCAAACTAAGTTTTATTTTTTACTATTGTTTACTTCATATCATGTTGTTTTATTCATCGCATTTTAACTTTCCTCAGCTTACATAACGTCAATGGTAGGGATGGGTGGATTGACGGCGTTGGTTACATCTCATTTGTTCGATTCGACTAGAAACTGACCTATATTTTTTTCTCTCACTGCATTTTTAGCACAGTGTCATGAAACTTTCAAATGCCTAAGTATTTGACACACTACGGTTTCAGAAGAGACTGTTTGAAATACCATATGATTGACGACTCTCTTTCAATCTTCTTTTCTCCACGAACTAGATTGAATTTTCGTACTTTGTTGTCAATAGGTCGAATTGACGCCACTTCGACGTGTCAATAGCTCTAGTTAACACTACATAGTGGTGACCATAGCTTCTTGATGACACCACATACCAGTGTCAACAGCCATTCCGTTAATTAATACTCATTTCGAATGTTTAATTAAATGTTGTGAAACACCTTCAGGAAAAATAAAGAGCGGAATTGCGCATACGGTGTTATTTAATCTTGGTTTAAACTTAAACCTAATAAAGATAAAATTAGAATATTTATTCCTTTCTTTAGTTTCCAAAGGTGTTTCGAAACAGTTTAATTAAACATCCACGATGAGTATTTAGTTTTGGATATATATCACATTAGTTTTCTATTGTCCTTTTTGCCTTCACTTATGGGACGATTCTAAAATCCTTTCAACAATATCTATGTCATTTCTTTCCTTGATACTTTCAATACACATTCAATTTTATCTCTACTGTTCTCCTAAAAATATCTTACATCTGCTTTTTCTTTCTAATATTGATGACATGCAAAATAGAAGTCTTATCTCTAATTTTATTTCATGATAAACACTCTCATCCTCTTAGTCCATTGCGTTTCAGAAGAGTGGCGAAAATAGGAAAACGTAAGTTGTTCGAATTTGTCTTACTCTTGACAATCTATATCGATCATTCAAGCAGCATGCATTACATTGATGCATTATTATAATCCTATTTTTAGTATCTTCACTATACTCATACATCTCTGGGTATTGGTCGACTTAACTAAGTAACATTGATACCATAAATCTTCTATAGGATAAAGTCAGAAAATAGGGCAGAATCGACCCCATTGAATGTATTCTGCAGTTCTGACTGCTTATGTTGACGTTTGAGCTATCTAGGTAGAATTACACATGCAAGTGACTGGAGGAGATACCATATATTTCGCAATTTTCTTTCAATCTTCTTTTTCTGAACTACTTCATCTCTTCTTTCTATCAGTCTCAATTTCAGTCACATCTCTTTTGTCTCTATTTGCAGAACACATGTGGCACTATGCTTTCATTAATGCTGTCGTTATTTGATTCTGTGATAATTTATTCGCGAATTGAACAATGAATGCATCAATGTGTGATGATGCGGATGACTTGGGCTATGAGTTACCCCCGATGTACAAAGCTCTATTCATTGTCGGCTCTTTTGCTGTTTTATTGGGAATAATATTAAATGTGCTATTTGTTATTGCTTTTCTCCACAATAGAACAATATTCTCAATTAACAATCACGCTCTCATTTTGAGTTGCATCGTCGGAACTCTGCTGACGCTTATTCAAGGACCTCTTCGTTTGTATTTTTACTTCAATAACGGCTGTATACTATATCAATTCACATTTCTTTGTAAAGTAATGGTCTATTGGGATCACATTCCAACTCAAATGAGTCAGTTTCTAACAGCTCAGTTGAGTGTTGAACGCATTTTTCTCGTACGGAAACCGTTCATGTTCAGACGAAGGCGATCGATCGCCGTTTACCTGCATTATATCTGCTTAATATTCTGCATTCTATCCCCAGTACTCTACTATCCCTGTGTCATGTCTTATGGAGGCACTTTCAACGTTCCAGAAACGCCCACATGCGATCTGTATTATACTGTTGATGCATTGCAGATGATGGACACATTGATTACTGTCCTTCCGTACGGCATTGTTCTTTTCAGTTATATATCGGCCATTATAGTTTTTGTGCAGAAAAAGAAACGAAATCAGCGATTGAGAAGCGAGAGACGAATTCTATTACAATTAAATATGTTCCTCATTTGGTTTTTGGTTACATGGTCTCCGTGGATGTTGTACGTTCTTTTTCAAAGAGCTGTTAATCTGAACTACAGCGTTTATATTGATGCAATAACAACATTTATAGTTTATCTGAATTACACATTTAATTCGACAATCATCTTGTTCACATTCAGAGAACTGCGTGTGTTTGCAATCACGCGATATTTCCCTTGTTTATCAGAAAGATTTAGACGAATGACTGGACCCATGTCACTCCACACATCACATCCTGTCACAGTTCCAAAACGAGTTACTCAACTTAATGGTAATGTATTTACTGTACAATAGTCATCGAGAATAAAGACGAAGCGTGAACATCAAAAACATCGAAAGTTTGTGCTGTCTCTTTAGATGAGATGAATGATTGCATAAATTAGACTAGTATGCCTTTGCAGTGATTCCGAATAGCCTGATCCGGCGTGTTTTCGGGTCTTTGGAGACCCGATTTCTGGAAAACCGTTTTGCCAGAGGTAAAACGTTTTTCTTAAAGTTAAACTTTGACCAGTCGGGCTTACAGAGCATGTCCAGTTACCTATGTAAATAAATGTTT